GTGTGTGTGTGTGTGTGTGTGTGTGTGTGTGCGTGTGTGTGTGGTTTCACTTCATGTGGTTTGAAAGGCCACCTTAAAGACTCATTAGAGCTGGAGCTGCGTCTCTCAGGCGGGCGGATGTGTGAGTGTTTGCAGGTGATTAAAGCTGATTTAAGAGATGACGACACTGAAGCCGGCGCTTCACAGAGCAGAAGAAGAACTAAAGGAAAGTCAGTATGCCTGACACAAAGGGTTAAGATGAAACATGAACGATCTCGAGTGCTTGGATGGAGACGTGGTCGTGCGATGGCGCGCATCAAAGCTTCTTTGCTTTACTGCGAGCGTGTCTGAAGGAGCTTGCGGCTCCTAACATGCCGACCCGGGAAACGCTCACGCGTCCCTTTAAAGGAGAGTCAGAGCTGCTCACACACGAAACATCGTCTGTCCTCCTCAGACGCTTCAGTGTGATGACTTCTGCGTGCTTCTGCAATTCGCTGAGGAACAGTTTCAGACTTTTACTGCTGGATGAGCCCTCCACCCACATTAGTGTTTGACCCGTCTTCTTCTGCTGCGTCTCAGCTTCTGGACCAAATCCTGACGTGTGGAGTTGCAGTCCCACCGTATCAGAGCTCCAAGCTGATCTCACTGCGACGTCCTCACAGACCAACACCTTCCAACCATCCAGGAGCAGCTTGGAGTGCTTCTAGCAGGATGTAGCGCCACTGAGCGAAGGTGATCGCGACATCGACAGTCTGGAGACATGTTCAGGAAACTCCACACCTTCACCCCATCCAGACTCTGTCATCAGTCCTTAACGCTCAAACTCAGCATCATAACTGATGAAGGTAACTCTGTCAGTGGACTCAGGCTAGCTCAGGTGTATGGACAGGTGTCTGCAGCAGGAGGCAGAACAGGTGAGGATGAGTTCAGCTTCTGATTCTGCTGGAGCAGGTGGCAGAGTTTTTCCCAGAGGCAGGGAAACGATGGAGGGCGTTCCTCTTTCCACAGGAAAACTCCAGCTCGGGATTACAGGTGAGTTTCTTCAAAGTGATGGCAGAGAGACATCGACGAGCATCAGAGAGTCCGATTGCACAACGAAAACAGCGAAAGCTCGAGCTGGTGCTTAAATACAGGAGGGTAATGACCTGATAATGAACAGGTGTGTCGGCGCAGGACCTCCCCACATACACCTGAGCAGTGGACAGGAAAACCGGGAGGGAACCCGGACCATGACAGCCATGTTATGTTGTAGTCTTACGGTGTGTTCACACCGAACGCGATGGACGCAAACAAAACGCCCCAAACGCCCCTAATTTGACGCGTGCACATTCGCGTCTCAACGCGTGTCCAAGAAAAATCCATCGCACGTCAAAATATTTTGACGCGCGTCAAGCGGAAATGTGGGAGGAAGTTGTGCCAGACCGATATCTTTGCTAGATGGCAGCTGTCGAGCTAGCGCTTGAAGAGAGCGTCTCCCTTCTCTATTTACTGTGGAGAGCAGAGCAGCGGCGTAAAAGACGTCCTCGCCATACCTGGGTCCATCAGGTCCTCCAGAAGCGTGAGCATTTTGGTGATAATAATATTGATACCTGCGCTAATATATGCTAAACCATCCAGTTATACACTGCTAACATGGATGTGCTATGCTAACAGTGAATGCTGTCGGTGTTTACTGAAAGCAAACTGTGGTACAGAGACGACTGTTTATAATATTTCTAGTGATACTCAGAAGGTCTCATCAAGCCCCGATTTAATTCGATTTATGCTGTTATCAGTGTTTGAATGACAGCATGGCTGTGGTGTCACATCAATGTATGCGCTCGGTGTTTGCTGATATCAAACTGTAGCATTAGCACCACTGAGTTAACCTTTGTAGTGATACTCACTCCTTTTTATTTAGACCTGGTTTGATTCTGGGATAGTTGAATATTTGTATATAATCCCTGCAGCTGTCAGACTCTATAGCAGGGGTCAGCATCCTTTATTAAAACAGAGTTAGATAAAACTGAACAGTTTGGTTCATCTCTAGTTACATGGTTCTATCTTGATAAGCTGTCTTATCACAGATTAATTTTTCAAAAATATTAATGATTTAAGCAAGGAAAGGGCTACATGTCAACCTACAACTCTTTATTTCTATTAATGTCTCACTTCATTCCTACCTGATTGACATGTTTAGGAATTATGAGTGATTGGCTCACTGTAGTTGTGAAAGTTGCTACCAATCAAATTATGATATGTTAAAGTTAAAATAAAACACAACTGTTTTAGATATGATCTAATATACATTTTGTAATTATCCTTATAATTACAAAATGTTTTATGTAAGATTTAAGTTTTCTGATTTAAATCTGACATCACCAAAGTGTTTTGGAATTTGAATAATGTATTTTGTAACTGCAGTACACATAATACTGATTTTGAACAATTTTCTCCAGGTTCCTTGTCACCGCGGACTCCTTCAGCACCAAGCGTTCAGTTACAGAGTCGGTGTGTCCACGGTGACCCAGATCACCCCCAGGCAGCGACGGCCATCTGGGACTGTCTAGTGGACGACTTCATGGCTGTGCCTTCACCTGGCTGAGGAGGAAATGCTCCATTGGAGACTGGTGTGGCTCCAGCTCCACCACCGATGGATCGTCCTGGGACCCGTCCCTCATCTGCCTCGGAGCCGTCCTCCTCTGTGGGCCTGTAAAACAGCACAAAACACAAAGAAATGAGAAGGCTGCTACTAGATTTTAATTTCAACATTGGAAAAAAACAAAGACAGGATATAATCAGATTAGATGTAGATATTTAGTAAAGGTGATCACAGGCAATCCCACCGACTAAAAAGGTATCAGTGCTTGCTGTACATACCTGTGGGTGCAGCAGCAGGAGCTCAGGGACTGGGCAGCCAGGAGAAGCAACAGGGGATGCTCTGCTTCAGAATCAGTTGGTTCTATCAATACAGTATTAAATGTTAACAGGTTGAATATAATAATCATAGAGTAGACAGTGGTCCCTCATTATTGCAGCAGGGGTTCTCAGAATAACTAGCCCCTGGCCACGCACTTTATAACCTTTGTAGATTGCAAAACGTAAAAGTATTATTATGCCGCCGTTTGTCTTCATCTGCCTGCCACTTTCGTGCGCCTTTTTCCCTCACGGTGCAGGTGTCTATTTCCGAATGAGGCTCATAGTTATGGGTGTTTTTGTGCTGTTTTTTCTATTGGACGTGATGGTTATCAAAACCAAACGTGATAAATTTGGCAAGCGCAGGAGACACGACACGGAGCAGATTTGTCAATCAGGCTGCAGAATGCAATGCTGTACGGTGCAGAAAAAAGAAAAAAAAAAGAGGCAGTGACGGATGAACAGCGGGACCACTGTGTGCTGTTTATTAATAAACAATAAAATATATTCTTAAATGACAACATGCCTAAAAGCAGAACGGTATTTGTACATCAGTGGGAAAATAGCGGTGGCTTGCTAGCTTTTGTGCGGCTTCCCCGGGTCAGTAAAGACTTTCAAAAGAGAAATGAATGAACTTACCAGGTTGCCCGAGCTCTTCACATATCTTCCTCCAAGCTCGGTCCTTTATATTCCTGTCTCGGTACAGAAAGCAGCTGGTGTCGTACAGCTCCGAGTTGTTTGCTACAGCGTTGATTAGCCTTCCTTCTATTGAAGAATGAAGGGCTTTGGCTGGATCTGCCCCTTTGACCTAGGTCACAGCCACGTCACCAGGCTCCTGATTGGTTGTCGCGGCGCGATTTGACGCTGGAGTTCAGATTTTTCCAACTCGAGCGGTGGACGCGTAACGCGTGTATGCACAAAATGCAACACAAAAACTCACGCGCGTGGTTTTATTCGCGAGTCAAACGCACCAGACGCGCTACACTGACGCGCGTTTCAGGCGTTTTCGCGTTTTCGCGACGCAAATCTGCTTCCGAATTTTCGCGGGACCCGCAATCGCGTGTCATCGCTCCTTTCCATTGACTTTACATGTAAACCTGACGCTCTATTCGCGTCCATCGCGTTCGGTGTGAACACACCGTTAGTGAAAGAAGGTGTTTATTTCACCCAAACCAGTCCCAGTTTCCCTCTGTGGTCAGTGGTCCACCTGCAGTGGCTCCATGAGCTCCAGGCGGGCCTCTCCACGCAAGTTGAGCATCACTGTGTCAGTGTAAGAGAGGCCCAATGAGAAAAAGATGGCCAACATGTTTACTGTCGTTCTAATTGCATCTGCTGTAATTACCCCTCTGCACGGTTTGACTGACACTCACCACCAGGGGGCGACGCATGTTCTTAATTGTTTCCTGCTTAATTGTGACGTTAAATGTACAAATGTGTACACAAAGACTTACCTGGTTGAATAACGGCTATAATCACTGCGCCCTCATGTGGTCATATGGCCTATTTGCAGTTTTTCTCCAACAAAACACAGCGATGTTTCTTCACATGGTGATAACTTTATTTTAAAATCAACCAGACAAAGAGGGAGAAGCTAGTCTCTGTGTGATCACGGACGCTGCGTCCTCCAAGCTGCACCGTTAGTGCTGGACCATATCTCCAGGTTTAGGAGCAACATGTGGCACCATGAGTTTCCAGGAAGCTCTTTCTGATTTCAGAACGATGAACGAGCCTCACTGAGCTACGCACAGTCGGCCTGAAAGCAACAGTCTCGCTAACAGTGTTGCTAATACCAACTTCATAACGAGCACGTGTTCTTGTTTCAGCACGTGATATCTTTGTGTTATTTAATATAATCAACATTTGCATAAAGTCTATTTCATTCTAACTTCCATGGGCCATCTGGCTCTCACATGAGCTGTGTCCCAAAACGTAGACCGCATCCTTCAGAGGACCCGGCCTTCACGGTCTTTGAAGGACCCGGCCCACGTAGACCGAGAAGGCCGGAAGTGCGAGGCTGTGAAATGGGACGGTCCAGCCTTCTGATCTGCGTCACCGCTGTCTTAGGTGGAGTTTAATAAACCCAGCCGTCTGCTCCTTGCTATCTAAAATATAACAGGACACTGGAGTAAACTCTCGACCGTCTCACACTTCTGTTTTATCAGTTTCCTGTCTGATGTTTATTCAGCTGTGTGAAAACCCCGGAGGAACACACCCGATGGATCAATAAAGTTTAATCTAATCTAATAACTTTGATCTCAGCCAAACAGATTTACTCCGGAATAAATAAAACACTGACAAAAGCTTCAGCTGCTTCAGCTGTTACACAAGCACCATCCATCCAGCCAGGAGACAGGTTCTGCAGAGCGCCAAGGTTTCCTGCCTGGTGCCTCTGAGAGAGTTCATCCAGTAATAATCAGTTTTGAGTCATTAGCATGAATTTATATGGAATGTAAATGAAAAACACGGGAACTCTTAGGTTTACGGCCTCCCCCCCCCCCAGCATGCCTGATGTCCCCCATGCCCCGTAGCTGCCCTGTCATTATCTCCAGCCCTGCATCTAAAACTCGCAGCTGCCTGAAAGGAGGGACCGGACGTCTGTACCCAGCGATGGGTGATTTGGAAAATGATCGTCAGTGACGTGGAAACAGCAGCAGCCTTGACGATGTGACTCGTGCACACGCTCATATCTGCATCCTTTCATCTGTTTGGGTGAATAATAAGTCGTGTTTGTGCTCACGGGTGGAGAGCGTTCTATGAAGCATTTCATGCAGCAGTGTAAACACAGGGGTGTGTGTGGATGGAGATGTGTGTGCACGATAAGCTCTGCAGCCTGCAGGTTGTTCCAGGGCTTCAATAAAAGGACAGCAGATGCTCATAATTACACTCACTCAGGTCTGTGTTTCTGTCTTTATGAGGACCCTCACTGACATAATCCAGTACCAGACCTTTTATCCATCATGATTAAAAACGTCTAACTCTGACCCCGATTCGAACTTGAAACCCTAAAACTAACCCCAAGCCTCTAAGGGCAAAACGTTAGAGCTGATGTCCTCATAAAGGCTCAAATTTACACAGGTCCCCAGAAACATAGGGAAACAAACGTACAGAGGTCTGCAGGTGTGTCAGTTGCCTGTGTGTAAATATGTGTGTATGTCTCCATGTTGTCTGTTTTTGTCATTGTCAGAACAGAAAGGGAGGAAACATTCACCTCCTCACGTACTCCTCTTCCACCCTCCCTCCTCTCCTTACCTCCTCTCTCCTCTTGTCCTCTGATCTCTCCTCCCCTCAGGTTGGGTATATATCTGATCCATCAGCAGCTGAAGAGAAAACCAGCGTCCAGCAGCAGGTAGGACCCGCACGTCCGTTTATTGGTGCTTTCATTCAAGTTTGACTCTTTTATAGATTAGAGGTTTTATCACATTATTTTAATGCTTTGTTTCATTGGAACTGTTATTGTTTTATCCTTTATTTCTTTTTATTGATTTGTTTACATTTGGGGTGGGTAGATTAAAACAATTATAAATAGTACAGCATTAACAATTTTCATTTATCCTTATGTTTAGTTTTAAAGTCACCTCCAGTTTTTCTAGATTTAATATCTCGTATTTTTCTTATTCTCTTTGTCATTATTTAACTTTTTATTTTAATCTTTCTTGGTTTCATTTATTTAGAGTATTTTTATTATTCATTAAAATTTCACAGAATTGAATTTATTTTACTTAATACTAAAATTGGCTTTCATGACTGTTTTTTAAAAATATTTTTTATCTGTAATTCATCTATTTATTGGACATAAATGAGATATTTTTGTCTAATTAAATTTTGTTTAAATTAAACGTTACTTTAAGGTTTGTTTGATGTTATTGTTGTGTATTTTCATTTTTATTTATATTCTCACTTTCTATTATGAAATACAAAGATTTTTTAAATAATAATTTGACTGATTATCAGGATCTGGTTGTTCTAATTTTGGCTTCTTGATTGGACTCTTATATAAAACAAAACATCAGTAGATGCATCAGTGTGTTCAGCCGGTCTCTCTCTGCATTAAACAAACGATTCAGAGGCAAAATTACATTTCAGATCAGTTTCCATCAAACAGGAGAGAGCGAGGCGTGTGTGTGTGTGTGTGTGTGTCTGCGTGTGTGTGTTACTGAGGCAGGAAACGGCCTCTGAAACAAGCAGCAGTCACGGTGCTAACACTATGACGTGCTGAAAAGTTTGTTTTGTAAGGACGCCGTGAAGAAATCATCTGAAAGGATCTTTTTAATAACTCGGATAAATCTGCTGCAAATACATGTTTGATGATTTTGTGTTTGTTGTTATTTGTTTGAATAATTTAGAATCTTTACTTGAGACTTGATTTAGACTTTAGTCTCACATTTAAACCCCTGACTTGTATTGGTAAATGGTAAATGGCCTGCATTTGTATAGCGCTTTTCTAGTCCATAGGACCCCAAAGCACTTTACACTACATTCAGTCATTCACACACACATTCACACACTGGTGATGGCAAGCTACATTGTAGCCACAGCCACCCTGGGGCGCACTGACAGAGGCGAGGCTGCCGGACACTGGCGCCACCGGGCCCTCTGACCACCACCAGTAGGCAAACATGGGGTTAGTATCTTGCCCAAGGTTATTTGACATGCAGCCAGGATGCAGCCTGGGATCGAACCACCGACCTTCTGATTAGTGGCTGACCTGCTCTGCCACCTGAGCTACAGCCACCCCATATTGGGGTTACTGGGATCATTGGGAGTTACTGGAGGTTACTGGAGGTTATTGGAGGTTATTGGGGATTGTTGGGAGTTACTGGTGGGTGTTGGAGGTTACTGGGGTCATTGGGAGTTACTCGGGGTTGGTCTCTATGTGGATTACTCGTTAGTCTTTACTTGGGTGTTGACTTGCTGCGTGTCTCAGTTCAGGGAACACATGTTGTGTTTGGGAGCGTCCTCTTGTTGAAGCCTAGACTCTCTGACAGGCACATGTGGATACTGTGTGTTTCTTGTGTCATTAAGTTGACCTTTTGCTGCTCTTACCTGTGTTCAGCTGTAGCTTTGATAGAGGTGCTCGTGCTTGATAATCAGGGCACCAGAATGCTGTTCTTGCTCTGTGGGTTAAATCACAGCAAACATTTCTGGCACAACTTCTCCTACTTCCAAGGTGCATGAAGAGGATTTATTTTTTATGTTTTTATTCTAATTTTATCAGTTAAATTATTCTCGCATGAGTAATGTTTATTTAATTAATTTTATTTATTTTTTCAGCCAAAGAAGGAGTAGCATTCTAGACATCTCATCTTAAGTCTACATTTTAGAGACATAAATTAGGACCTTTTAACTAATGTGTTCCCATGTGATGATGTCCTCTTGTTTTTAATTCCTCTGCTGGACCAACCTCCTTTTATTATCAAACTCTGCCCTTTGTCCATTTTGTTTTGTATATTCATAGTGTTCTTCTTGTGTATTTCACACATGTGTTATTTTGAGATAGGTGGGGGTTATGTCGTCCCCCCCCCCGTCCTCATCATTAATGATGTAGTCCAGTATTTACTTGGGTGACTTAACCAATTAACCAGTACCTACCTGCTGGTCTATGAAGTTTTGATTGGTTATTCTGAATCTTTTTCTGTTTCCTGTCTTGTGTTTAAGCATTTTTTACAATGTTGTGCTATGACCCTGATGAAGGCCACGAGCCGAAACGCGTTGGTCAATTGTTAAAGTTGTTCATCTTAAGTGTTGCTGGAGTTCCTGCCTTGCTTGCTCTGTGGGTTTTGGTCCTGTTGGTGTAAAGGTTTGACAGCTTGTTGAAGATGCTATACTTTGGTGTCAAGCTGTGTTTTATGTGCAGCATATTTTAAAAGACTCTCATTAAGAACTGTACTGCTCACAGAGGAATGAGTACACTTGTTAGTAGATAAAAGTTTCTTTCATCTCGTCACCACAACAGGCGCATCACGTGTGACTTGGCAGATGAACTTCCTGTTGTAGCCCCAGAGGAATTTGTGTCCTGGGATCAAACCTGGGAGCTTCTGCTTATTAGGATAATGAGTAAAGCACTATGGAGCTGCCTCATGTTTTAGTAGGTACCTTCATATAATTGGCACATTAGATTAGTTAAATGGAGAGGACTGACAGGCTGTTGATGTTCAAGCTGCACAGATCCCGACAGTGCAGACAAACCTCCACGTCTGTGGTCTGCAGGCTCAGGCTGATAATAACAGCAGGTTCTGCTGTTTTATTAAAGATTAAATGTGATATGAAGCAGCTCCCAGTCTCTGTGCAGCTGCTCTTATTGCTTCAGGTCCTTCAGGTCTCGCTGCAGAAACATGTGTTTGCATAACGACTGAGAAAAGCAGCTGTTCTCCGGACTCTGGACAATACTCGACTAAACGCACAGTTATCGTCTATAAATAAAGCTTTTCGCAAATATTTAAATAAGTTGGTTTGAGTCATGTTTGCTTTTTCTTACTGTGGAGTTTGACTCTGGTGCATGTTTGTCTTAATTTGGTGGAGCTACATGTTTTATGAACGGTGGTTTTGGTTGATCTTGAGGAGACTGACGGATGACCGGCATGTGTCTTTGCAGACATGGCGTTGCTCCATCAGAGTCGAGGCTCACCCAGACTCGTCCTGGTGGTGGTTTGTGTCGCTCTGCTGCTCGACAATATGCTGCTCACTGTGGTCGGTGAGTAACCGGCGCACACTCCACGAAACGACGCATCACAAAGACCAAATACCAGATTGTAAAAAATCTCTTTATACCACACCACGGGGACTCTTATAGTTCGAACTCCAGCCCTGTGTTTAGCCTGTCTTTGTTTACATTTCGCTGAACTATCTTCATAAAAACTGTCTTCAAATGTCATTGTTCCTGCAGTTTAGTCACAGATTTGTGTGCATCGATCGCTGGTGTGGTAGGACTTGACTTAAGCGGCCAAAGAAGTGCAGGAGACTGATGCTGTCCAGCGTAGCGAGTGATTTATTCACCATTTTGTGACCCAAACAATATTTACAAAGAAATAAAAAACAAACTCAACTCTATAATTAACTCAGTTCACATAAACATAACTGAATCTAAATCAGCAGAAATTAAGGTCAGACTGCACACAGCTACACTGACCTGAACCTTTCTAACACTCGAGTTCTTCTGCTTAAATCGTCCACTTAACCAAACACTTTCTCCTCTGGACTATTTCACTCAGTAGGTAAGATGAACATGATCATATTCAAACTTCTACTGCTCCTCTTTACTGGCAACATAAACTCTGTGGTGGAATCAATACATATCACAACAATAAATCTATTCCTCCATAAACCCTCTAAAATCAACTTTATTAAATTATAAGAGTTCTTCCCCTTCTGCACTTGGTCTCCTCCTGTGACCTCAGATGAACCCAGAAGCTATAAAGCAGGAAGTAAAACTACATTTCCTCCTTTTGTTTCTGGAAGACATGTAGGTAAGGTGAGGTTAAACAATACAAATTAACAGTTGAAATAAAGAACATGTTAACTTAACAAACTTGTAGGGATTGATTTAAACCAAGATGTTATATAATCTGTAAAAGTCCAAAACATAAAAACAAGATGGCGCGGCCACGTCCAGACGCCTTCCTGACCGCTCCGCTCCGACTATC